ACCAACGACGTTTCTTCAACATTTCAGAAGCAATGAGATCTTTTCTCCAACGGTTCACTATATATTGCATCGGTATCTCATCAGTGCCCATATTCTTTAATACACAAAAAATATGATGACATAGCAAACCATAATGATGATAAAACAAGCAGCTACAATCCAAAGTACCATTGCACTTATTATGCATAATCTGTAAAAAGTTCAAAGAACTTCATTATTCACACTGAATAATAATATATATTCCTCACATTTTAATAACATTAAATTAATTAACAAGACTTTTAATGTATTATAAATATAAATTAATAACTAAAAGAGCCTTGTGATCAGACTTTTTTACATAAACTTCTAGATTTGCATTGCATTTGCCATTCACATCAACTGCATCTTTCCTTTTTTTTTTTTTTGTTGAACCTTCTTCTTTTCAATCACAACAATAACATCACAACCATCTACCAAACTCACAGATGATTGGAAACACGACCAAATATAGATTCAGTTATCTCATTCTGAACATCTTTGAATATAGCACATGTATATATCTTAGAAACATGAACCTCAATTGGAAGGGGTGTCCTCAACCTTGGTACCATTGTTCTTGTTTGATGGTTAAGTAACCTATGCTTATTCCTTTGTTTGTCCATAGCTGAATCAAATGAGTTAAGAAAAGCCATAAGGTTTGCTTTGGGATGAAAAATAATGAAAAGAATGAATATTCACTCTCAGATCTTGATGTCATTCTCATTAGCCGAGCCATCAGAATATCCTTATAAAATGATGGAATCCATCTATGCCTATTACCATACATAGATGACAACCACTTGTGCGCAACAAGACCAAACTCAACCACTAAAGAGGTCCATCTATATTCAAATTGAATAGCGTTAATGTGTTCATCCAATATAAGACCATGAAAACGTTTCTTGAAATCAGTATTTGAAACAATATCAGAAGAAATCTAATGACAAATTACTAATATAATAATTATATTCATACTAAAAGATTCAGAATAAAGAGGAAAAAAATTACTTTCGAAGGCAATTTTGTACTAATGTGCCACATACAAAACATGTGCCTTGACTCTGTAAAAACCTTAGCAACAGCTTGCTTAATAGCAGGACACTGATCATTTACCACCAACTTTCGTTGGCCTCCCAAATGATTTCAAGAAAGAAAGAAGCAACCATTTGTAGGCTTCAGTATTTTCTCCATCAAGAAGACAACCAACACCGAGGTTACACAATTCTTGTGATTGTCAATTCCTATGAATGGGACGAGTGCCATACAGGGAAATAGGGAAATCAACGGCATTTACAAGATTGAATCGGAAAAGATCAAAGAATCTATCATAAGTGGAATGGATAATCGATAAGAGCAAAAGAATCGGAATAGATATCGGAGAAAATAGGATGGTCTTAATCTGTTTGGAAAATATTCATTATGCCAAAAATGCCCCTGAAGCCATATTTGAGCGTCCGTTAAGATTAAGAAAAACGACTATGATTTGTCCTCGTATTCATAATCAAAAATAAGTTTGCAAATAAACTTTCTTCTCTCTCTATCTCTAAATATATATATGTGTGTGTGCGCACGCACGTAGACTCCTGTTGTTTATAATCTATATATATATTAAAGAAGAAACCACATACAATGATGTGGCTTCTTCTTAAAACAAGAAAACCCTTTATCTTTTTTCTCCTTTTCTCAAGCTTTTCCTACCC